CACAGAGATCCGCCTGGCTCTGCCTCCCGCGTGCTGGGATTAAAGGCGTGCGCCACCACGGCCCGGCTGGTTGGCCTTTTTGAAGATACCAACCTGTGTGCTATCCATGCCAAACGTGTAACAATTATGCCAAAAGATACCCAGCTAGCACACCGCATACGCGGAGAACGTGCTTAAGAGTCCACTACGAGGGGAAACATTTCATTCTCAAAAATTTTTTTCCTCTTCTTCCTGTTATCAGTAGTTCTGAATGTTAGATATTTTTTCCATGGGGTCAATAGGTACCTAAGTATATCATTGCGAGTGGAAAAATAGGGGACAGAAATCAGGTGTTGGCAGTTTTTCCATTTTCATTTGTGTGTGAATTTTTAATATAAATGCAAGATGTAAAGCATTAATGCAAGCAAAATGTTTCAGTGAACACATTTCAACAGTTCAACTTTATAACAATTATAAATAAACCTGTTAAAATTTTCTGGACAATGCCAGCATTTGGATTTTTTTTAAATAAGTAAATTTCTTATTGACGGCAACTAAATGGTGTTTGTAGCATTTTTATCATACAGTAGATTCCATCCATTCACTATACTTTTCTAACTGAGTTATCCTACATGCAAGTACATTTTTTAATGTTGTCTGTCTTCTGTACTGTTCCTGTAAGTTTGCTATTAAAATACATTAAACTATAAAAAAAAGAAACAAAAACAAAAGACTTTGGTAAGTTGAATAAAACCCAAAGACTTAAGGGGCATTTAAGAACACACGCATAAATGCATAATAGTTATATGCATACATATATACAGATACATGTACTTAACTGTATTCAATTGAATGCATATTCTATTGTATATATTCAGTGCATATATTCAGTTGAATACAATATTAAATATGCATACAAACGTATTTACACACACACACACATACATATGTGAAATAAAGAGAGAGGTGAAAAAAAAATCTGCTGTCAACTCCCTTTCTCTCTCCCCTCCTCTTTCCAGCCCCTTTAGCCATCCTTGTTTGCCTCCTGCAGACACCGGTGGATCTTGGAAATGAATCTTAGGACCCAAACCCAAGGTCCATCACCCATTCACCTCCTCTTGATAGTCCAGTGGCCCAGCACATCTCTGTGCTGTCTCAGAAGACCTGGTAACTGAGGGCAGGATGGAGAAGGCACCAGAAAGGGCCATGGACCTCTGCGACAGGCCTGAGATGAGCATCTCCTCCACATCTGCTGAGATTTAGGCCACCACATGCTCCTCTGGGTGGAAGTGGTACCTTCTTATAAGAATCACCCTGGGGAGAGTGAAGAGTAAGACAGGAAAAGAGGACTCAGCATCAGGTTTGAATGTGGAATTGTGGGAAATGCTCTTTCTCTGTTCCTGGGGCCATTCAAGTCCCAGCTCTGAGATCTGGAGGACTTTGGGACCCTTCTGTGGGGCTGGCGAGGCACCTGAAATTTGACTCAGGATGAACATGGTGTTACTTTGTTTCTCTCTAAATTGTATTGCCCACACATCATTGCGGAAATTCCAGCACTAAGTCCTAATTAGATCATCGACTGACCAGTGCCCTGAGGGAAGAATTAAGGAAAAGGACATGTCCTAGTCTGTTATAGGGTTGCTAAGTGGAAATCATGCCTTTTCTTTGCAAGGGTCTGGTGGTTTCAGAGCAGTCTTCTCTAGAAGACTTGCTGGGTTAGCAGAACACTTTCTCAGTCACTATAGGGGCAGCAGCAGAATTAGTGGTAACAAGAGACAGATGCCGTGGGGTAAGTCCTGAGGTACCTGCACTTACTCCCCAAAATGCCTCCTTAACATTTTGAGGATGACATAAATAACAAAATATATGATGCTCACATCACTGAGCAACTACCCATGAGGGCTAGTGTTGACAAGATCTAGATCACCAAGGAGACATGACCCCAGGCTCATCTTTGAGGGATTATTTAGAGTAAGTTAGCCCATGGTCATGCCTGGGGACAGATTTCCTTGATCAGGTTAATTAAGGAGGGAAGGCTCACCCTAAAAGTGGTCAGCTGGGGTTCCTGAGCTTGTGAGCTGAGCTGCATAAGCTTGCAGAGCACCAGCATTCACTGTTCTCTGCTCCCTGAAAGTGGATACAATGACCATCGGCCACCACCACTGTCCCATGGATGGATGCTTGCTCCCTTCTGTTACCTCTGTCGAGGAATTTTATCAGGACAATGGGAAAAGTAACCGATGATGTCATCATAACATCAACAGCGATTCCTTATGCAGAGATGCTTTCCATAAACAGTCCTCCTTAAATGCCAGATTCCCTTCCTAGATTAAGGTCTTGGTTGCTGTTTTCAGATGGGAACAGGTTACTGAAACCCAAAAACAGCAAATAGCTGGCGAACGGCCCCCAAAGCTGTGAACTCAGACCCAAGGCTCCAAAGCCACTTTACACTACCTAAGATATAAGATACTTCACTCACCCTCTACCGACCTCATCACTAGTTCAGTTAGGAAATCACTGGAGACGGGTGATGATGTCACATAAAGGAAACGAACAGCCGCAGAGGGAATAGCCTAGACTCAGGCATCGATCCCCACATTGTAACATTTAAAGAAGTGGCTACAGGTTGCTTTTCTGCTTCCATTGTGTTCAGATAATTAGAGGTAGGCATGAAAAAAAAGACTCTGGCTTGCTCTCTGGTTTGTGCATAGCTTTCACTGGAAGCTGAAGAATGGATCTGGCTCCGAATCTGAAGATTCCCCAAGTCCAGCCCGGCATGATTTCCTCTACTAATTCCATTTGTAGAGACCTGGCCTTTGTGTAACCTGAGCAACTGCTGGACCACTCCATTTTGTGCTGTCATTTGCTTCTCTCTGGAGTCATTAGCCTTGCTCTTCCCGTCCCCAGCTCAAAGTAAATGTTAGTTACCGAAAGAAATTAGCATGCCACAGAGGCTTCCTCTAGCAACAAAGAAAGCATTACAGTCACGTTGCCGTATGAGCAAGCCTCTAATTCAGATACATGATGTTTAAAACAGCCTTTAAAGACGGACCCTGGAAAGCTTTTCTTTGGAAAAAAAAAAGCATGACATAAAAATATAGGTTTGGAAACTGTTCATGCTGGATTCATTTTTTTCTCATGCATGAACCCTTTCATTTGATATTTACTACTGACTTATTCATGTCACTTTGAGTTGCAATTATCTCATGAGATTCTAATAATACTTCTATTTGTAGCTTGCATGAGGCTATCTAATGACATTAAAATGGGGACGATATTTCATACTCATTGAGCAATTGGAGAATAAGGTGTGCTGGTTAGTTTTTGTCAATTTGACACAGGCTTGGGTCACCTGGAAAGGGGGAACCTCCATTGAGAAAATGCCTCCATAAGATTGGCCCATAACCAAATCTGTGTGGTATCTCTTTGATTAATGGTTGATACAGGAGTGTCCAGGATAGGTGGTGCCACCCCTGGGGAGGTGGTTCTGGATTGTATAACAAAACAGGCTGAGCAAGCCATGGAGGAGCAAGCCAGTAAGCAGTGTTTCTCTATGGTCTCTGTTTCAGTTCCTGCCTCCAAGTCCATGTCTTGAGTCCCTGCCCTGACTTCTCACCACAATGGGCTATAGCCTAGAAGTTGAAACAGATGCTTTCCTCCACAAGTTGCTGTTGGTCATGGTGTTTATCACAGTGATAGAAATTAACCTAAGCCAGGAGGAAAACCCTCTGAAGGCTTGGAGAATGACCTCTTCCTCTGCATGCAAAGTGGGCTATCACTAGGATACTCATCTCTGCCCAGTAAAATCTGAAGACCTGAATGCATAAGGTGTTAAAATAACTATAACCTCTGGGGTATTTTTCATTTCAACCCCATCTCACTTAAATGGAAGAAGGTCAACTCACACTACAATCCTCCAGGTCCCTAACAAAAAGGACGTTAACTGGTGCTTCATCTGCTTGTTAAACAGAAAGCTATAAAAATGATTTTCTTTTAGGAGGCCCATGTGAATGTACACTAACACAACAATGTCCTTCATGCAATAAAGACAGGCTTTGAAGTATTGATCTGGTAGACATGAGTTTTCTACCTAAAACAATGTAGCCATGGTGAAAGTGTCCCTGATCAGTCTTCTCTGATTGGTTTATTTATGTCCCCTCAAAGAATTGTGGACAGCTGAGTCTTGCTGTTTAGTTAACATTGTAGCCAGTGAATTATTAATGTCAATTCCTTCACTCTAAGGCTGGGGATGATGCAGGCATTCTGGAGTTTTCTTGGTATGCCACAAAGATATCACTCAAGGGCTGAGGAGCTGGCTCAAAAAGTGCTTCCTGTCAGAGCATGGGGACCTGAATTTGAGTTCCAGAACCTATATTAAGGAAACCAGGAGTGGTGTTTCATGCTTGTAATCCCAGCACTAGGGAGGCAAAGATGGGTGGATCCCCAGCTAGCCAGCCAGCCCTGCCAAATTGGCAAATTCTAGGCCAATGAGAAATTCTGTCTCACCAACAGGGTGGATGGCACCTGAGGATTGATGTCCGAGGTTCTGAACTCCACATGCACACTGCACGCAAAGATGTCACTCAAACCTCATTCTATCACTTCCAATATGTTAACACAGGCTGTGTGATCTTTTTAAAATACAGATGCTATTGTTTTCACATAAGGGCCTAGAAATCTTTCCACAGCCACAAATAATGCAAAGCAACATGAAAAGGCCTTACATTAGTCTATAGGCAGAGCAGAGTTAATGGTGGATTTCCATCCCCTGGGCAGCTTCACAGGAGGGGAGCAGAAGGAAGCTTGGCCTTTATCTGTAATAACATTATTAAGTCCAACTTTCAGAAGACAAAAAATTGAGGCAGGTAAGCCTGGAAGCCACTTGAACTGACTCAGCTGTATCAAGAATCATGCTCAGGTCAACGTCTCCAGACTTCCCCCTTCACTGTGATGAGGGTCCACCTCCCGTCAGATGATGTGATAACACACACCTGGGGTCATGATGTCCTCATCTGTTTCAGTGACAGTCAAAAGGAGCTAAGTCACTTTCACTCAAGTCCAAGTGCAGCTTGGTCCCCATTTGAAAATAAGCCTGGAGTAACTGCAAGTGCCTCGGGGTCCACGTGAATTAGCACTTCTTCCAGACCTCCTGGATAAAGTGCTGAGATTGCGCATAGCATCACGGACAACACGGTCGGTGAGTATTCTCCTTGCAGTTGGTACTCATTAACTGAATTAACAGTATCGAGATCGAAGAGGCAGATGCCAGGAGCATTTGACTGAGAAAAGATCTGAGCAGATGATCCAATACAACAGTGCTGGATGCCAGAGTCCACTCCAAGCGGCCCTGACTAAGCAGCATTTTTAAAATTATTGTTGGAGTTGTTAATTTGCGCGGTGTGTGTGTGTGTGTGTGTGTGTGTGTGTGTGTGTGTGTGTGTGTGTCAATTAGAGAACAATTTGTGGGAGTTGGTTCTCTCCTTCCACCATGTGAGTCCCAGCGATTGAACTCAGATCAACAGGCTTGGTGGCAAGCGCCTTTACCTGCTAAGCCATCTCACCAGCCCTAGGAGGCTTTTTCTCTGTACTCACGTTCACTCCAGCTCTATGAAAATTCAGACTCTAAAAGCCAGGTCAAGACCTGGCTCCTGCAGTAGATCGACACCTTAGTCTTCCCATCCTATTTGCATTGGTTGTGTTTCCCATTGCTGTGGGAAAATACTCAACAAAGCAACATAAGGAAGCAAAGGTTTGTTTGGGCTGATGGTTTGGGGGAACAGTCCACCACGGTGGGACAGGCGTGGTGGGAGGACCACAAGGCAGCTGGTCCCATGGCATCCTAAGTCAGGAACCATACAGAAGTGAATACTGGTTCCAATCTGGCTTTCTACTTTTTATTCTGTCCAGGACCTGGATTCATAGGATATTGCCACCCATATTCAGGAAGGATCATCCTACCTCAGTTAAACCCTTCTAAAAACACCCTCGTATGCTGTGGATATTGTTCTATATAAATGAAACACTGATGGCCAGTGACCAGACAGGAAGTATAGGTGGGACAAGGAGAGAGGAGAATTGGGGAAACAGGAAGAAGGAAGGAGAGACACTGCAGCCACCGCCAGGACAAGCAGCATGTAAAGACGCCGGTAAGCCACCAGCCACGTGGCAA